ATGAATGCGCCTGTATGAAAAGCTTTATTTCTCCGTCTAGTTGATTTGCCTTGCTGAGTCATCAATGTCATTATCCACTTCAAACTTGTCATTGGAACCGTGCCGATGGTCGTCCATTTTACTTTCCCACTTGGAAATTTCATTTTTCCGCTCGAGAAGAACATATAACATTTTGACACTCTGTATTTGTTCATGTAACCTATTCGCCGCTAAAGAAGAACATATAAGTTGATACTCCGCGTGATGAAATCACGTTTTTTTTCATTTTGTATTTATCGATACCTCGATGAGACAACGCTGGATAAAGTTGGAATTCTTCAAATATATTTTAGTCGAATGGTCCTACACAGGTAACGCGCTATTCAGGGGCAAAAGAAAATTCGAAAAATATAGGAAAATGGTTTTTGAAAGATAGAAATGCTTCGTGACGGAATCACGTATTTTAAAAAGGCCATGTTTTCATCATCAGTGTTTTTCCTTGAAAAGTTGACTGTAGTTGTCCCAAACTAGCACACTGATAAAATTCATATAATCACAATTCAAAAAAACATCTTACACTAGCCTTGTGATGAACTATAAGTTCTAAAATGAAGGCGTAAGTCTCGCAAAAATCTGACTTCGCCCACAAGGGTTGACCGTTACGTAGACAGGCCGCACTCTGTCAACCATGTCGCTTTTCCACTTGGAAATGTCGCTTTGCCGCAAGATTCAACTAGATCAGATTGTGACGCTATATATTTGTACATTTCACTGTTCCTGTTGGGAACAACCCTATCTTGTTAAAAATATTATTTATTTAAAGTTCGAGAATAAATGAAAAGAAGGAGATGCAACTAGTTTTCAAATGTAACGACAAATTTGCCTGCTGCACTACTGTGCTGTTTTCCGGCGTGGTCATCAGGAGTTTGATAGGCATCTGGTGCATCTTTGCTGAGCGCGACGATGGTCTTCCTGCAAGATAAATATGAGCGCGACTTAGTGACGGGATTTTTCAATGGTCTTACTTACCCATCAGGAGCCTGGACTTTCATGGGAACATTGAAACCTTTCTCATTATCGAGATCGTAGTGTATCCATTCATTCTCTGTCATCACTGACATTTCGAACAAGTTGGCTTCAGCAGCATGACCACAACGAAAATTGCCAGCCCAGCCTTTTTCGCACGTATAAGAAAACGAACCACTAGAATAAAAACAGATATGACACGGGAATATCGACGACAGTTCAAAACATTTTCGAATTTACTTAGGAGCAATGTTGGCAAGAGTAGTCGTGACTTCACCTTCTCCGCTTTTGGTACCGACAAGTTCAACCGGCTCTTGAAGTTTATTCACAAACTCAATTTGTGCTAAACACGGTAGAGAACAACTTTTGGTTAGAACGAAAGAGAGAGAGAATTCAACCAAAAACCGTGGATTTTTAGCGGTAGGTTAACCTGTAGCGCCAAACCCAACCAAGCCGAGCAAACGGGTGTAGAGACCTGCACGGGTTAAGAAAACCTAACCCGGACCCGACCCGGCTGCCAAAATGCCGACCTGCACCCGACCCGACCCGATCCGATGAAAACAATCTCACCAGAAAACTGTGTTTGAGAAAGAATGTAGACTTGCCTTGTTAGACAAAAGTTTTTCGGTGCATATTGTAGAATCTCGTAGTTCAAAAAAAATTTCTGAACGACTTCTGATTGGTCATTTTGTCTAAAAGGTTAATCTATTGAAAATTCCTCAGTACACTTATTTAATAGATTATCTTAACCGAGATGATGACCACATCCTTTTTCTCATTGGTCAGTCAGTATCATCTAATACTAAGATAGCAAGTAGAGAGCATTATAGTAAAGT